GCCACTTGGGCTGGAAATGGAGTCCCACCCATCAAATAGGAAACAAGAGGTGATGACCTCCGAGAATCAGTTTAGTGATACGTGAAGGAAGAAAAAAAGAAAAGAAAGCAGAAAGAAAAAGAAGTTGGTAAAACTAACGATAAACTTCCAAGTCCTTAAGAAAAATGAGAGTGGAATCGGGTTGGTACCGAGAGTTACAAGAGCACATTGATGAGCCCGGTCTCTCTCTTCCCATATGCAGATTCCGCATAGCAAAAACATGAAAAAGAAATAAAGAACTGAATGAGAGAGAATAGGAATTAACCTTATTGATTGGAATATGGCCTGAGATTGAGATCGAATACTACAAGCAGAAGATCCAATTAAATTTGGTTGCCTCCTTTCTTGATCGACGATGGCGACTAGCGAATGCAACTGATGGTGTCTAACGTTGAAGTTAATCGACCGAACAAGGAGGACCAGAATCGGGTTGTATGTTGTTCACATCTTTGAGCTTCTATAACAAAGATGCATGAAACTTGTAATCGCCTCCACAAGTCGACTCAGGTTATGGCTGCTACAACACATTCCGTGCTAAGGGTGGTGAATACAGAAAACAGGGGAGACGAAAAACGTTGGAGAAAGGGAGAAGGCGAGCGAGAGAGAGAAAGAGAGAGGGAGAATAAAGAGAGAATGAGGGGGAAAGAGGAGGTTGAAGCTGAGTTCAGATCCTCCGCTGCAGTGGGGGTGACGAAACAGAGGAAAAGAGAAAGGGAAAAAAAGCGGTGGGCAATCACGGGGAAGAAGAAGATTAGGAGAGAGAGTGTGGAAGAGGGAGGCCAGAGACTTGGGGGCGGGTGGAGAAACCTCCGTTGCAATTCTGTTCGAACAGGGGCTATGGATTAGCCGATTTCGGCGGATTAGAGAAGAAGAAGATGAAGGAGAAGGAGAAGACTGAGAGAGAAAAGGGAGAAAGAGGTTGGAGGAGTAGAGAACTACCGGGAGGGGTGCCACCGCTCTATTTCGATCGAGAGGAGGAAGAAGGGGAGCAGTGTATTCATTCCACTTTTTCGGATTGTTCGGATTAGGCAAAACAAAGTTTTAGTTAAATTTATAATGAGCATTAGGGGCATTTTCATAATTTTTGGGAATTCAAGGGGTATTTTTGTAATTTGGGATAAATTTGGTCAAACTGAGTCGATAGGTGGTCAAACCGAGGTTTTGGATGAATGGCTAAGATTTTGGGTAAAAAATGGAGGGTTGAGATGGGTCTGACTGTTGAAGAGGTTTGTGTGAGCAGATTAACGAGAATGATCTAAATGGAATCTTTTTAGATGGAAGGATAAATGAGAGTATTTTTGAATGAAATTTCACAGGATGGGGATTTTGGGAATTTTGAGTTGATTGGTGGGGTCAGATTGGCCCAAATGGGCTCAGATTGGGCAGATCTGGAAAGGGTTTGATTCAGCTAATTTGGAGCCTTGGAATGAAATCTTTGTGCGACGAAGGGGTAAGCAAAGGTGTTTTGGGATGAAATTTTATAGGTGAGTATTTGGAGGTGTCTAGGATCTGATGATGAGGTCTGATCAGTCTTACAGGGTCAAGATCATAGGAATTTGGGTCAATGAGATGTTTTGAAGCGGAATCTTGGTTTGATGGAAGAACAAATGAGGGAATATGGGGTTGAAAATTCATGGTCAGGTGTTTTGGTGTGTCCGAAGTCTAAAGGTATGGTCTGATCGGTTTGGGTGTATCAAGATCAAGGTAATATGGGTTCTGAGTGTTTAGGCTAATGAGAAAGGTCAAAATGGAATATTTGTTTGATGAGGGGGTAAATAGGAGAATCTTGAGTTAAAATTTTACGGGTAGGTATTTTGGGAGATCTTGGGTCTGGTTGTTGTGTAAGATCTAGTGGTTAAGGTGTAAGTAGGGGTTGATTGGGGCCACCAGATTGGTATTAGACAGGTTTAACGGTGGATCTGAGGGCTCTCGGGGTGAAACTTGGGTTTTCTGGGTTTTTGGGTGTTTCGGAGAGGTCAGAAGGGTCTGATCGGGTGTTTGGGGTGAATTGGAGGCTCAAGCGGTGAACCAAGCAAAAATCAGGTGTTGACATCAAGGAAACCAAACACAACATTAATTAAAGAATCTTGTATAGGTTTCCCTACCTTTCCCTTCCATTCCCTACATTTTCTTTCAAACCAAATATAGCATTAAGACATATAGATATTGCCTTTTAACAGACAAACACCTTTTTTTCCTAACTTGATAGCAGTTAATGCACCATTTATCTATGAACTACTAAGATCCCATTTGGGAGGGCTTATGTAATGATTGAGTTGTGTTGACAAGCTGCTTAATCTATGATTTTTTTTGGCTCATGTAAGGTCATTTTCAATATTTCATATTTTTATCAAATAAAACTTCACGACATTTGAACTTTCTTGACTCATATAACACGAGAAACCATCGCGTGAAAAACCTCCCACCCCAGTTTTGATCTCCTACTCACAAAGACCTATCCACACATCACTACAACCGCACATTAAGAACATCTCCCATATTTACATATTACCATTGATGAGAGATGTTCCCCATGTGCAACTGCAGAAATGTGTGGGGTTTTAAAAACTAGACTGGACATGAACCCTTATGGGACTAGTCCCCATGTTGAATAGTATGGCTGTTTGGTTCGAATGGACAATCTGTTATGGCTTAAAAAATAAGTAAAATGAAAAGCGATAAAAAGCCATTGTTCAGATTGATGATTCAATTGCTCGGGTCAGCGGGCCACTAACCAAATCAATGATTTTTTGCCAAAAAGCTAGTTTAGGGTGAAATAGGATCGGTACTTGATCGGTTATCGAATCAACTAGTCCAGTCGTCTGATCTAGTACAGTTTTCAAAACCATGGGTAAGATTCTTGTGGTCTTGTGGGTAAGAAAATTTGGATTGCTTCCAAAAGGCTACTAATAGACCATTTGGTTTGCACGACCGGGATGAGAAAATAGGAATATTCAGTCATATTTGTTTTGGGCAACATACTGCGATGCAACAAGAATACCCTTATCAAAATATGGGACACGGGGTCTCACCAAATAGGTGCAACCCCACTAGAAATGAAAGCAACATGACAATAGTGAGAAAAAGTTGTCAAGGGTGGACTGTTCTCATCTCCCACCCTCACAACGGTCCAAACTCCGACCACCTGTATCCTTTCATCTTTGTGAAGTTTATGCCCTCCGGTAAGCACTTCCATTCCGTTTCATGCAGTTTAAGGTTATTTGTTATTTTATTCCACCGAAAATCTCATTCCCTTACTCCCTTAACTTTGACTTCAGATCCCCATACGACAAGGAGACAGGTTATTCTTTTTTTTTTTTTTTTGCATTTTTATCAAGAATTCAGTTTTTTCTTTCCATGTGTTTCAAATGCTTAATGGACAAGGAGCAATTTTCTTCTAAATCTGCTACTGGATTAACCAGCTCTCAGGTACAAATTAAATTTCATTTTATGTTTTTAGATCAATTGTCCTTTCCCTATTCCTAAAGATATTGTATGCTAAACCGATTGTACTTACTTGTACACGTCTTATGATCCGTACGCGTCCTTACAATGTTATTTGCCATCTTTTTTGGTGTTAATTTTATTACTCTTTAACACATGCATATACACTGCTAACCAAAGTGTAAATAAAAAATCTTAGTAAAAAGTTTGTTTCATAATCACTAAATTGATTATTGATTAGTAAAAGATCCTTTTTTTCATGGATTGTTTCTCAGTTAAAAATGATACATATTGAAGCATGTAGTGAATATCTGTCTATGTTGAGAAGCAGATTTGATAGCTAATTTCAGCAACTAAATATAAACACAGATAACAGGATTGAAAAAATAAAATTTCCTTTTTCATTTCATCCTTTCTCATCCCATCTCAATTCTTTTTATGTAATTATGCGAGCGTTTGCGCACCTCACCCCATTCACACGTTCCATTTTCTTCGCTCCTTTCTTTCCTGTCTCTATTTTTTTTTTTCCTCACGTGCACCACTATTTTATGACTTTTATCGACTGTTTAGAAGCTTCCACAAAACAATCAAAAGACTCGATTAAGGCCCGCACTAATTCTCGACTCGAACTCCGCACCGCGAGTCAATTCATTTTTTTTTGATTTCATACCAAAGAAAATCATTTTGGATTGAGCCGTTGGATACTTGGATGAAAATTGAAGTATTTAAAATCGGATCGGGTTTGGACAAGGACATTACGCAACCAACCCAACCCGAAGTGCATTAGAATTAGATGAAAAGGGTCACCTCAACTTCAGAATTCACCTTTTATCCATCCGTCTTCTAATTCCGGTTCCAACTTCTAGTCATCGTATCTTGAGAGTTGGAGAGTCCTAAAAGCCATGCCTATCAAATGTTGGATAATTTGCCCAGATACCGTATGACACATTGGCACGAAGAATTTCATTACCGAATGTTGGACCAAAAGTAGAAAGAAGAAATGACGAAAGGAAGAAAAGCCATATATTCCATTTTGAAGGCTTGAAAAATGAGAACGGGAATCGTTCTTTGTATGGTCCGTACCAGATTACAGGCTGGGTCTAGTTTTTTCAGAGTGGGTGAACCGCAATCTCGGGTTGTCCTTAGTGTTGACATCGACGCAGTGCAATCACGGCCGAGATGAACCCCAACATAGGACATATTCCTTAGGTAGATGCAGATCCGACGATAGAGCTCTTTCTCTTTGATAGGAGGAAGGCAATGAAATCCCTACTTCCCTTCAAATTTTCAGGGAAAAAGAATATTCTTGTACTGTATACATGTATGTACGTATAGGCTAGTGGCTAGCTACAATAGCCAATAGGTGGTAAACAAGGTGATGATCTTGGCACATCCCATTTTGATGAACGGGGCACACCATATATGATACATTAACTCGAAAGGATTTGTTTGTCTTTTTCACTACGGATGTCCTGTTATCAAAATGTGATGTGCCCAGATCGTTCCCCGCAAATTAATAAAGTTGCTCACTTGCGCTGCGTGCCTGCGTCCACTATTCAACTCGTTCCTCTTCTTTCTCTGCATTCCAATTACTTTCCTGGGCAGTTCATCGTTTTCTTCAACAGGTTCATTCTCTCCCTCTTATTTTCTTCTCTTTTACTTTTTCAGATCCATTTCAATGGAAGATTAATAAATTATTTTTTATTTTCTTTTTATTGATTTCCGTCCTCCTTTTTTCATTTCTCAGGGTTCTCGTGAATTTTCTTCAGTCTGTTGTTATTATGAGATCATTTCTGCAATTAATAGAAACTTCTTTATTTCTCGTTAATCTTAAATTCCTCATGAGTTTCCAAAAAAGAAAAAAAAAACACTAGATCGATCCTTCATCCCTCATGGAGCTACTGTTAGCTCTAAATGGTCGAAATATGCGTTCCTTCCTTCCTGGACCGAATATCGGTTTATCGTTAGATTAATTAAAACACCTTTAGATATTAAAACTTTATTTTACTTTTATGATATTTTCTTTTCCCGCTTTATAAATGCAATACAATGGATGGGTTTAAGAATGTTCTTATGTATTCTTGATGATTAGGCCATATTCTAGGGAACAAAGGAATGATGTGGGGGATTATTAGGCGAAAAGTTGCTTGTTGTGGGTCGTCTGCTTCGGTAAAACCTAAACCTTTTCTGTTATCCATTGGTTATTTTATATATTCGTAGTTGTATTTTGGCTTGAGCTTAAGGGAGCTGACTTTTGATAAAATTGTTTCATGTTGGCTCGTCTCCTTTTATCTCAGATTTTAGGGCAGCCATTGCAGAGGATTCGACCTGCCGTGTCTGCAGCAAGAAGTTACTCGACTGCAGGACAGAAGGTACTTATGGCGTGAGATTTGTTATTCTTTTCTCCATCTACTTATCATTTTCTCCTCATCTGGTTTTAGCTTGCATTTATGAATGTTAGAATATGCTCAAGCTTTTTTTTTTTTTTTAATACACAAATGTTTTAGAAAATGTTCTTAACATATAATTCGATCCTCGCGTTGATGGGGTGTTATTATGTTCGGCATTTTGTTCCCATGATGATTGATGAATAATAAATGGGCAATCCTGTGTTTCATAGATAATATTAACTTGGGTTTCGGTAAATGGTAGCTTTTCAACTGAACCACGTTCATGGGACTGTCAATTCTATATTTTAAGACAATCCATCAATAATCATTATATTGCTATTATTGTCATAGTCATTCTCCTCCTTTTCCTCCTCCTATTCATTGTGTCCAGAAAACAAACCTCAGTCCTTCAATTTTTTGAAAGATAGCCCTTCATTCAGAAACGGTATTCTATAGAGTTTGGATCTCCTCCCAACAAAAAACTGTTAAACACGTTTCAACATGGTCAGTGTATGCAAATCTCATACATGGTGGGTCCCAGTCTTATGGTGAGATGTGCGGACGCAGATCATGTTGGAATGGGGAGGAGATCCAGACTCTATTCTATAGTTTTTATTTATTTAGTCATTCCATGTCTTTCTCTCTCTTCCATTATTATTAATATTTTGAGGGGCTGGTTTGATCATAAGGTTAACTAAATAAAGTGATAACATGAAAGAGACAGTGAGCTACCTGCTACCCGTTCTTCCATGTTAAGAAAACTAACCTCTACTTGTTTTTGTAAGAAACCTTTTTTTCTGGTACAAGTTTTAAGAACCCATTATCTCTGTTTGTATAAATTTTTCAATGAACAACCATGGATTATAAAGTATAAATTCCTTTTAATGACAAGACATATATGACACCGTGACTCCATTTCTTTTCCCTCTTTGATGTGCTGTGGTCCTGTGGATCTATTTTCCTCAATTCTTTACTCCTTTATTGGAAGTTTTATAGCTTAATGCATGATAGTTTTCTTGATTTACCCCTCATTCCCTGGGACCATCTTGCACAATTATTCTAATTTTAAAGTTAAGCTTTCTTTGTTGTGATCCATTTCTAAGCTTCGATTTTACCAACATTTTTTCACAGGCATCACTACTTAGCAGAGGACCGAAACAAGTTCAGAACTTCACTCACTGTATTCTGCTTGGTAATTAATAACTTTTTTTTTTTTTGTTGGTTACTGATGTGATCTTCTATACCTTTGTAGTAACTTGGTTATAATTTTCATGTCATTGCAGGTGGTTCAGTTAAATCAAAGCCTGTAAGGTTAGTAATGTGCTCCCATGTTTGCAATCAATAACCTTCCTAGTATTGATATGAAAATAGTTTTTTTAGTAGTACAGTCCTTTATCAGCTACCTCTGTAACTTTTCTCTTTCTGCTGTGGAACAATTATTAATGTTCATGCATTTAAATCAAGAAAAACAATGAAATTGTACTGAAAAAGGAATATGTGTTTTATAGGAATTAATTCTGTTCCTTTGTACATCTATTCCTTGGACTTTTTCTCACAAATGTTTTCATGGCAAATATGCAGGGAATTTATTTCATTTACACAACCAAGCAGTCCAATTCAAATATGGAGTAGATCATTTTCTTCAGATAATGGTGCGACTTGTGCCTTGTTGAATTTGCTCATAAATTCATGCTTGCATTCAAAGATACTCATTCACAAATACACTAAAATGCATGCATGCACACATATATCTATTCATGCACGTATGCCTATTCATATACACAGTCAATCTATCAATCTGTTACACACATATGGATATTCTGTTTCTCCATTTTGGCATCTTTATTCTCAGAGCAATGCTATCTTACACGTTTCTTTCTTTATGAAGGTGACCTGGTTGATGCAGTTGTTCCTTTCATGGGTGAATCTATCACCGATGGCACACTAGCAAAATTTTTGAAGAGTATGTTTTATTAACAATTGTATTGTTTCTTTTTTTGAGCCTTAAGAAATAAGAAGTATTACTCTGCACTACTGTAATATAATTGAGTCTGTGCATGTATGTATACATAATTTTCTTTTTGGTTTGGGAACTCATTGTCTCTGATATATCTGAGAGCAGAACCTGGTGATAGTGTAAAAGTTGATGAGCCAATTGCTCAAGTGGAAACTGATAAGGTATTTATCATGATGCAATGCATCCTAAATGATGTAATAATGATATGCTATTAATGTTTGTGAATCGTGACTGGAATGTCATAATACTGAAAATTTGTTGATGGCCATGACCAAAACAAATATTTATGTTCTTTAATTGTCTGTTTATGATCAGGTGACCATAGATGTTGCCAGTCCGGAAGCTGGAGTCATCCAAAAGGTAAAATATCATTAACCATGAATAATGTCTTGGATGAAAGCTTGCAACATTCTCTTCTGCTTTTTAATATAAGTCAGGTAATGTATTGAATGTATTTGATTAATTTCTTTGTTCATTATTGGCAGTTTGTAGCTAAGGAAGGTGACACTGTGGAACCGGGAACTAAGATTGCTGTTATTTCAAAGTCTGGTGAAGGTGCTATACACGCTGCTCCATCAGAGGAGAAATCTGATAAGGAGGCTTCTAAACCATGTCCTCCTGGAAAGGAGAGTGTGGCCAAGCAAGAGCCTAAAGTAGAAACTTCTGCTGTCAAGGAGAAGCCTAAAACATCTTCTCCACCACCTCCACCATCATCACCGCCAAAAGCCTCAGCTACAGAGCCTCAGCTTCCTCCGAAGGAAAGGGAAAGACGTGTAAGTCTCTTGACTTTTTTTTTTCTTATTTACAAAAATAAATATTCTGGTAATTTCCTGTATATTGCACCATAATTTATTAGAAAAAAACCCATGACTGCTTTCTTGTGGAAGTTTATTGATGTTCACTGTCAGTGTCTCAATTTTTTTTTATATTGCAAGGAATTTCCTCTTTTTTAAATACCGTGTGTTAAATACCATAAAATCCTTACCATCAATCATTTTCTATCTAAAGGAATGGTGCTGGACAATCAGTGTTGTTTCTTTGATACCTCTGGCATTATGCTTTGTGGTTTGATCTGAATGCATCAACAAAATCTTTTATGGAAATGTGTCCAACAAAGAAACAGTGATTAGGAAGATGGAAAGGCTTCTCATCTTTTGGACCAACACACATAAGGGGTTTGAAGGCTTCACATATCATCACTTTTTTTAATCAATGGCAGTGGATGGATTATAAGGGAGGATTTTGCAATATAAGTAATATTTTATTAGTTCAATTTAAGTAAAATTTGATAAAAATCTCACACAAAAGCAATTTCAGGGGTACAATATACTATACTACCTTTCGCCAGATGTAAATGTTTCTTTTTGAGAGAAGCTCAACCTCCATTTCAATACAAAGCTTACACGTTACCTACCGAAAAACCCTAACACCATGTAATTGGTATCACATAGAAAGGCAAAATCCATATCATCAATAATTTCTAGGCTCTAAATAAGTTCCTTGAACATCTTTTTAATGTCAGAACTGTCACTCCTTGATACAGAGATATGCAAACCTCCTTCACCTGTGATGGAACCCTTTTTTTTCATGTTCCTTTTCTCTCTCCACGAAACTTTGCTGTTCTATGATTTCAGATTCTTCTTTATGCCGAATTGATGCTTCTAAGTTCTAACATTGTACAGGAGGATGAGTTATAAAGATTCTAGAAATAGCATACCCAGACCAGCCATAAGCTTTGGGAGCAAAATTCTGAAATTAGAAAAGTTGACATGTTTGTAAGAAAACGGTGAATCTCCTTTTACAGATCTTCATGCACAACTCATCCATTCACCATCCTTGCAGGTCCATAGAACAAGGTGTTAAATACTTCTGAACTACAATATGTTCATAAAACAAAAAAAAAAAATCAATATCTCTAGATTTGATTAAACTTCATAAAGTTTTTTTTTGATAATAAAAAGAAAATTTTATAAAAGAGAAAAAAGAATACAGAAGAAAGGTGATGAGTTATCTCCCAAGAAACATGTTAAACTATTTGAGGTTCCTCTTGAGATTTTTCAAATCCATAAAGGAGGGAAGATGGATAGTTTGTTTCAGAATAGTATTCTTTGGTTCTTGCAGATCTAGATGGCTGAAAGTGTGAAATACTTTTGAACTACAATATGTTCATAAAACAAAAATGCAACATTTCTAGATTTGATTAAACTTCATAAATTTAGAGTACTACATGTTTAGCATGGACAAGCATTTGAAGTTCCACTTGAGATTTTTGAAATCCATAAAGGAAGGAAGATGGATGGTTTGTTTTAAAATAATATTCTTTGATTTATCAAAAATAAATTCTTTGATTCTTGTAGATCTAGATGGTTGAGAATGAATAAGAACGCTTGATCCTCTAGTATAGGGTTGGACTAGGACTGTCTTGAGGTTTTTTCCTTTGTCCTCTAATTATGGGGTGGACTGGACTTTGGCTTTAGAAGAGGTCTTTGTAAACCGGAAACTACCCTTGCTATTCGCTTGTTATAGTTTTGAAGGGGTCTTTTTGGACAACTCTTGCTAGATACTCACATTTGGACTGCCCACCTCTTTGATTTCTTTTTTTTTTGTGCTTCTTTCTTTGCTTCTATCTGTACCCCCCTCCCTGCAGAAGGCCATGGTATTTTATTGGGAGATGTTCCTGGAGAAGATTAACACTTGTAATGCCTTTCAAAGGAGGAAACCTAATTATTGATAAAAAAGGAGGAAACCTAATTGATGTTTATCTCTGCATGTTTGCCTTCATTGTAATGTGAGTGGGGGTTAGCAGCATGTGAAATCAGGGACCCTCTGGTGTAGGGTGTCTTTAGAAATGAAAATGGCGATGTTCTTGCACTTTTCTGAGGCCCAATAGGAAGTGGAATTTCCTTGAGGGCAGAGTTGATGGCTTTGCTGCAGGCTCTACGATCGGCAATGGAGTTGAATCTCACAAGAGTTGTGATGGAAGGAGATTCACATGTGGTAGTAAACTGGCTGAAGAATTGCGAATTAAAGATGCAATATTTCAGACAAGAGATTAAAGAAATCAAGTGGCTAATCAGAAGTATGGAAGTAGCAGTCCAATGGATTTCTAGGTTGGCAAATGGGCTGGCTGATGCCTTAACTAAACAAGGGGTGACTAGGGAAAAGTTATTTTGGGCAGTCATGTAATGGGATTAATTTGTAGGCTGGATGTTCTAGCTTACCTGTGGGTGTTTTGTACATCCTTCTAATATTCTGTATATTCTCAATACTTCCCTTAATGATAAAATAAAAGACTTGATCTGTTTTTAAATTGTTGATGTCAATACATAACACTGCTGCTTGGGTGTTTTGCCTTGAAATAACATTCTTATTTGTGAAATAAAGAAGTAAGAATAGTTGAGCCACTTGCAAAATATTGATGCCAAAGCATAAAACTGAGATGACTGCAAATCAGTGATGTTTTGATGAATAATGGTAAATGTTATATTAAAACCATTGTTCATAAAAAAGAACTTTGTATTAAAACCATCTGAGCAGGAGAAACTCTGTAATCAGGATGACCGAATATCAGGAAGAAACATCATTGGTTTATGAGAACAGCTGGGGCTGAAGAAACAAATAAAAAGAAAAAGCACACATTTCTACAATTCTGCCCCAGGGTCTGGTACCCCCCATTGTAAATATGATCTCTCAACCCCATTGCTTTATGGAGAATAACCTAAAAGCATTGGTTGATATTGGAATCCACTTGAATGAGCTCTTCAAGGAAGAGCCAGTGTCTTTGCTTCTCTGTGTACAATCTGCACACCCATTATACCATTTTTTTGCAGAAGACATTCAGTCAATAGCAATATGTCAGTCCCTTTCAGTTTCTGTTCTGTCCTAGATACTACAGCTAGTTTGAGGCCTTGCATGGTGCTATTGATTCATCTCTAGCTAAGGTACATTTTCCAATAGGGAAGGGGAAGATATGTGAAGATCCCCACCAACCTGAGGGCATTGGGTTTCTAGAGGTTTGTCATCAAAGTTAAATGGTGGTGCAGTTCCAGTGTTTTAAAAGCACAAGGGGCAATTTGTGCCCGAAGTGCAAGGCGAGGTACATGCCTTTTTGAAGCAAGGCACAAAAACACAAAAATGCCAAAAAAATAGAATATTAATAAAAAATAAACTTAAATTTTAAAATAAATGTTTTAAAAAACCTATTATCTAAAATTAAAATACATAAACATAACATGTAAAGCATATTCAAATGAAAATTTAAAAATAAAATCAAAGATATAAAACATTTTCAAGCATGTAAAATCCACAATCTCTTTTTTTTCCTCCCTCCCTCAATTTCATTACTTCAAGTAGTTAATGTGATGTAAAATATATTGTAATCCTGATTTTACGAGCCACCTCTGTACGAAGACCCTCAAGGCAAGCCCAAACAAGTCCATGTTAGGGTCTTAAATTCTTAATTCTCACACAAAAATAATGATTTTATAATTTTAATTGCCTTTTAAGAAGATATTTATTAGGTGCATACCCTAAAATGTGCCTAGGCACACCTTTTAAATCACTGTACAGTTCATTCTTGAATAGCTCTCTTCTAAGTAACATGAGTAGCACCCACAATCTTGTGGGATGCTATCCAAAGGAACACCCTTGAATATATCCAAAGTGAATATCCACTGGTAACCTCATTTTTCTTGTTGAAAATTCAAGATTTTTTTTTTTCCCATTACAAACACTCCAAAGTATAGCTTCTCGTCCATATCTCCACAATCCACATAAATTTCCTTCTCTTGGTGCAAAGAAGAATGAAGTTGGATCTAATATATAATTAGGAGGTTACATGTGGTTTCAAGTAGAAGAAAGATATGGTTTCATATGACTGATATGTAGGAACAGGAGAGGAAAGTTTGATTAGCATTCTTTTTCTTGTTCGTTCCTCTTGAATTCTGTGAACTCTCGATCTCCTTCTTTGTAGGCTTTTCCATTTAGATCAATTTGGTTTGGTCTGGTCTCACCCAAGGGAAGGGCATTGTGTTGGGAGGTATATCATTTGAACATTGATACTTGTGAAACTTTGCAAATGGAGAGTCCTTAGTATATTTCTTTCCTCAAATGCTTTCTTTGTAATGGAAACGGGTATCTACATTCCATATTTCCAACTGCTAATCTCCTGCCCTTATTCTTTCATTTATTTGGGGATTGTTTTTTGGCTTTCTTTGGCCATAGGTGGTTCCCACCCTGAGATGTGGATACCTTTTCAAGACCTTTTTTTTTTGTTTTTCAATCTAAACAGGAAAAGAGGTAAAAAACCTAAGATTATGTGGAGGTGCACAAGGGCTCCATTCTTTGGTTCAATTGGGTAGAAGGGAATGCATGGAACTTCAAAGAGAAGCATCTGCACAAGGAGGCCATTATTGATAGCATTGTGATTAATGTGGTTTATTGGATCAAAGCTCCAGAGATCTTTGTTACAGTTCTTAAAGGATGGCTTATTAGATGTTGGCAGATTTTGGCAAAATCCTCATCTTCTATGCCCAACTTTTAAACAAACTAAGCCAGCATTGAATCAATTAATTCTTAACTTTGATGGGTGCAACATGGGTAACCTAGGGAATTTTAGATTAGGAATCTTTAGAGACAGCTATGGGGACTGTGATAGCACTCTTGTTAGGCCCCATAGGGTTTGGAGCTTCTACAAGGGCCCCATAGGGTTTGGAGCTTCTACAAGAGCTGAATTCCTTTTTGTCCCACACCTTTCTAGATTATCATCTTGTTTCAAACCATCAAACAAATCCAAGAAACTAAGGTTAATAGACAAAATAACATGCAACGAGATTGTTCTATAGGCTTGAGTTAAAACTACATAATATATTAAGTTCAAGCAAAACTTAAACTCACAATATGTGCAAATGATTCTAATAGATCAACCAAATAATTATTGTACAAACAAAAATTAGGATTTAATGGCACATCCAAGAGGAATTTCGAGCCAGCTCAAAATGGTCATGGTCTCCATTAGGTGGGTGATAGTTGTACTGCTCCTGACATTTTCAAATGTAAGGGTGGTGAAATGGAAGAAACTTTAATATCAGGGAGCCCAAAGTAATTTTTGGTTATGAATCTTATGACTTAAAGGGGGCATTTGGCAAAGAAATCTACCTTTTAACAAGGATATTCTGCTTATATTGCTTTACTGTTTGACAACTTACCATGATTGCAGGTTCCTATGACAAGGCTTAGGAAACGGGTTGCAACACGTTTGAAAGACTCTCAGAACACATTTGCAATGCTGACTACATTCAATGAAGTTGATATGTAAGTTTACTATGATGAATTGTAGGTTTTTTTTTTTTTTTACTTTGAATCTGGACTAACCATTTCTGCCTCTTTGACTTGGTGTTAGCCTGTAAATCCTATTTTATTAATTTAACTAAAACATATGATGATGCATGTTTCTACATTGATTTGTGATAATACAGGACCAACCTGATGAAGCTTCGTTCTGATTATAAAGATGCCTTTGTGGAAAAGCATGGTGTGAAGCTAGGACTTATGTCAGGATTTTTGAAAGTATGTAAATAACAGAAAATGAAATTTGAACTTCTTATGCGCATAAGGAACATTGTATAGTGTTTGTATCTATAGTTCTATATATTTCTTTGATTGTTTAGGTTTTCAATTTTTGTTCCAGGCTGCTGTCAGTGGGCTTCAGAATCAGCCAATAATCAATGCAGTCATTGATGGGGATGATATCATATATAGGGATTATATTGATATCAGTATTGCTGTTGGTACTCCTAAGGTTTGTCAATAACTCATTGTTGTAGTTGCTGTATGATTTTGATGCATTCTTCATTGATCTGTTTCACTATTAACTCTAGGTTTATGATAATTGACGAGAGGTCCATATTTATCAGATTGACATTCAAAATTGGTCGATTGTACAATAATAGATATTATTGTTCTAAAAATGGGATTTGGGTCTATAATCACTGGTATTGATGGATGATTTTCCCACTTCTCAGTATCAGAGTGCATATATATTAGTCAAGGTGGTGAATAGTTGTTTTGGTAGAGATGTTGTCTAGACTATAGTTGGCCTCTAAACAATAGCTAGTTTGCAATACATACATATGCTAATGAAGGTGGTGAGTCTGGTGTTAGTTGTTTTGATTGCATATTTATCATGTTTTCAACTTTGGTGTAATATAACCAGACGTGGATACATATGCTAATGAAGGCTACAGATTACCAGTAAAACATATGATAGAATATGAAAAATGACTACCGCAAATAAAATCATTACTTGGTGTGCCGAATTAGTTAAAACCTAAAATCTCAGATTGGTCAACTAGCTGTTAGGCAAGTATCTATTTGGTTGACTAGATAATCAGTCAATCCTTTGTAATCTTTTTTTTTTTTTTTTTTTTTAATTAAAGCTTGTAAAAACAAGGAAAAGGAAAAGTTTCAGGAAAGAAAAAGGGAATGGGGGTTGCAAGGAGTACTTCCTATTTGTGTATGATTACATGTCATTATCATATCATCCAAGCCCTTATCCCAACTCCACCGGTGTGAGCTTGTCTTACACTGCTGGTCCCAAGCCCAGTACTAAAACTTTTGCTGAACTCTTGTGAACATGGATTCTGATTTGTCTTTTGTGTATGATTACATGTCGAAGTCGCTAAATACAAAGAACCCTTTCTACCACCAATTTAGCTGGTCAAGTGGTTAACCTTGGAATCTCAGAGGATTAAATGTTCAACCTAGATACAATGGGTATATTGGAAAGCATAACACATCCGCTATACAAACTAACTATAAATATGTATGAGCTGATTGCCTTGGTATAATTTGGAATTCAACAGTAATTCGAATTTGAGGACAGGGTTGCTGAAAGAATGATTCAACTTCTAAATGGATCTCAAGAGTCAAGACCCTCCCCCTCCCCCTCCCCCCAGAAAAAGGATAATTTAGAGAATAAAAAAATTCTTAAACTCCATCAACATGACCTGTCAAAAGAATAATGTGCTGAAGAATTTTTTTTTGTCATTATATTTTATGTGCAGCTCTTTTCTTCATCCTTGGCAGAATTTCTGAGCTTAGTTTCCCTAGAGAATTTTGGTTGCACTTTGTTGAGATCATGCTGTTGGATTCTCTTCTGAATTTCGTACTCTATAAAAATGTAATCTTGGGTTGTTAAATATACTGATTTACTTTTGTCTTTGTGCTATCAAGGGTCTTGTTGTTCCAGTCATCCGTAATGCAGATAAAATGAACTTTGCTGAGATAGAGAAAGAGATCAATACCCTAGCAAGGAAGGCTAATGATGGCACCATATCAATTGATGAGATGGCTGGGGGCTCATTTACAATATCTAATGGAGGTGTCTATGGAAGCCTTTTGAGTACCCCAATTATCAATCCCCCACAGGTATGCCCCCCTCTTCCTGACTGGTTGATGAATGTCTCCTTATTTCAACTCCCCCCATTTTGTAGTGTATATATATATTTTTTTTCAAGTTATTTTCATGAAAAATTTAACTAAATACTCAGCCAAGTTATAAATCTCTCGTGCTTTCCCTTTCAATCGGAAGGAAAATCTCATAATCATCACTATTTTGCAGTCAGCAATCCTGGGCATGCACTCAATAGTGACCCGTCCAATGGTTGTAGATGGCAACATTGTTCCAAGGCCAATGATGTACATTGCATTGACCTATGATCATAGGCTGATTGATGGAAGAGAGGCAGTTTTCTTCTTGCGCCGTATCAAGGATGTTGTGGAGGATCCTCGCAGGCTGCTGCTTGACATTTGAAGGTGTACCACTGACTTTTTTGATTTTGTGATTTGCCAGTTTACGTAGGTTCTGGCATATCAAGATTTTTATTTAGCCACAATAAGTAATGGGCTCAAAATTTTGCTGGGATTCTTTTCTTGGTCAAAACCGTCAGCAAGTTCTACAACTGCGGCCTTCCATGGTTGAGTTTCCTATGAGAAACCCTGCTTGATTACATAATTGTTGTTTATATTTGCCAACTTATTTTAACATGCTTAATTTCAATCTGCCAAGGAGTCGTCAATATCTGGCTAAGAGTTATAAGATTTGTATGAAAAGGGGTATTGCCCCTACATACTTCAAAGCACCAAAAGTTTGTCATATGATGCGTCTTTCTTTTTTCATTTTCCCCCTTCCTCCCTCGTTAGTCTTTACTAACTCTTTTTTGTTGGGTTTGCTTATGTTTACTAATAGAATAATGTTTGAGATCCACTGCCGAAGCTTACCATTCAGAAGTTTACACCGGTTTGGATTATCGAAACTGAGGAAAACATGGTGATTACTGAATTAAGGATGCGTTCGGTAATGATTTCCTTAGATGTGCTAATGCTATCCGAGAATCTCACGGGGATTCACTTGGGGGACCAACATCGATTAACGGCCCTTATTTTTAATATTTTAAAGGGTAAATTATAAAGACTCCCCTGTACTATAGGGTCTGTGATAAAAGCCCCCTGTACTTTATTTTGCGATAAAACCCCCTGTATTATGACCATGAGACAAAGACTCTTTCCGCTAATTTTTTGTTAAAATCCGCTATTACAATATTTTTAATCCCCACACTACTTTTATAATTATCTTGACAATTGAGAGGAAAATACCGTTCATCTTCCGTAATCCCTTTTAAAAGTAGGGATTGGAATTACCACCGCTAAGAATAGGCAGTAAAGAGAGAGTTAACCGAATCCCAATCCCTACACAAACAGCAGCGGCGGTAATCCCTTTTAAAAGTAGGGATTGGGATTACCACCGCTAAGAGTAGGCAGTAAGGAAAGAGTTAACCGAATCCCAATCCGTTCTTCTGTCGACTGTCGAGACAAAATAGAGGACGCCACTTCCATCTCCTCCACTCCCTTAGGAAAATATCTTATTTTGAAAAAGGCCATAAATTAAATTAATATAATAAATGAAATGAAAGAATCTTCTCTCTGAAATCTCCGAAAAGGCATTTTAATCATGTAAACTCCAAGATTGATAAACAATGAACATTATTTATTAGCGGGGCTGAAAGCGTATTGTTCAGATCATTTCACAACCTTCCTATTTCCTGTGGGCGTTTCTCTTTGTCATCGTCTTTATATTTTTACCTTTCCGTCTTTCACCCCTCTCTATTCCTTAATAAATATCTAATCATCGTTATCTCTCTCGTTGCCTCTTTCTTCAACTGATTTCTGATTTTTTTCCTCTATCATCCATGGCCTCCGAACCAGAAATGTCCGAGGCATCGTTTCTGGATCAACTAATCAGTAGTAGAAATAAATATCTCTCTCTTTCTTCCTCTTATACTGGGTTTCACGAGCTCACCGAGGAGAGAATCCGATGACCCTGATCGGGAAAGTGAAGGACGGAGCCACGAGCGGATCATCCTCATCAACCCCTTTCACGCAAGGCATGATCGTCATTGAAGGTGCTGGAAGAGGGTTTTTGTCTCCGTCCTTCACGATACATGAACATGAACAGCAGCGGCGCTTATCCTCAACAACCCCTTCATGATACCGGAACAACAACGGCACTTAGAAGGGATTATTGCCGCTGCTGTTCGTGTATCGGGGAAGATGAACGGTGTATTATTCAAATAGATATTTACAAGGTAGTATGAGGATTAAAAAATATTACGACGGATTTAACGAAAAATTAACGGAAGAGGGTTTTTGTCTCACAGTCATACTACAGGGGTTTTTGTCGCAAAAAAAAGTATTAAGGGGTCTTTGTTACAGACTCTATAATACGAGGGATTTTTGTAATTTATCCAAAAAAAGCGGTAAGTAATTGCTCAGGTATCTCACGTATGCACCTTATAATGAAGCCAGAGGAATGGTACAACTTTTGTTAAATATTTTTTTTTTTGCGATAAATAGACTGCAATGCACCTCAGAAAAACTTCATTGCTTTAAATAATTTATTATTATTATTATTATCGTTATTATTGTTATTAAGGCAAATTTTTTAAATTATTCTTACCATTCATAAAATTGACAAACTGTATTTTTACTGTTTAAATATTATGCTGCCGTACTCTTAAGTTTTCTAACAATTGATATTGCCGTCAAGGCTAATTGAAGAAAACGAAATGTTAAATTTGTCCTCCGTTCTTCAAATTTCATCCACTCTTCTTCCTCTCTTTTTCCTTCTTCCTCTACTTCTCCTTCCTCCATCTTCATCTCTGTTCACCGTCTTCTTGAGGGTGAACAGAAAACTACCATCGACGTAATCGTAGCCGAAAATGACGGCGGCAATAGTTGTTTTGCCCGGAGACTGCTGTTTTACTCGGTGCAGGCGACGAGCCGGGTTGCTTTATACCTTACAAGAAAGACCAGATTGTCTTTACCCAATCTTCGATAAGCACAGATGTCGTCATTGAATTGATCCATACTCTCAGAACTCGTGATCCACCAGCATGGCTTCCACCCAAATTCAACAGAAAAAAGGAGGGCAACGGAAGGAGGAGCAATCGAAAGCTTTTGACGGGTGCAAATGTTGGAAGACACGGGAGAGAAGAGTAGACGGTGGAACAGGCACGGGAGTTGCAGGAGACACGGGTGCAAATGTTGGAAGACGGGAGAAAAGAGTGGACGGTGAAACTGAAGGGGAGCACTGAAGCTTTTGATTATGCTCCTTCGAACAGAAGTGAAATAGGGGAGCACTGAAATAGGGTTCGCTTTTTTTTGGTTCAAACTAAATCACAACCGCTGTGGTGGTTCTCTCTTCTTCCATCGTCGTCTCCATCTGTAAATAAACAGCTGGAAATAAACATCAATATGACCATAAACAGCAGCTTAAAAATACTAAAATAGAAATATAAAAGCTGTATAAACTGAACTCTCAAAAATATTGTTTTATGATTTTTAAATCTTCATATTATATTCTCATGCTTGTTTTAAGAATATGTACTTAATTAATCGTCACCTCCGTCTCCGTTTTCATGCTTTACGTGATCATCTCTGATCCTGCAATTGTTGATAATCCAAATCTCTTGTGCTTTCAATTGCTCCCAAGTTCATGAAGTTGCAGACCCTAACATTGCGCCAAAATAAACCGCAACTTGGGTTCGTTGGTAAGGTTATCAGCTTTCGATATGGTTCTATTAATCGGCTTCTGGGGCCCATCCCTCCTTTGTTGGGGAGCCGAACTGGGAACCGCTCCCAATTCAATGCCAATTCATTTGAAGGAAAGAAGGATATGGGCTACCCCTTGCCGCCGTTGAAGACCAAAGGGTTGTCCATGTCGATTGTCAAAATCGGTTGGGGAGTGGCTTCTTGAGCTTGGTGCTTAGTTTTACTGCTGTCTGCATTTGGTTGAGGATTATAGAGTAGGGGATGGCCGGTGAAGAGGGGAAGTTAGCTAATGTCTGATAGTTGAAATACATTAGTTGAAAGATGCAAAAAAGAAATTTCAGGTATGATTAAATGAACCCATTGTCGATTGAGTTTGGTAACCAGAAAGACCAAGGACACGAGTTCTTCTTTTTCTGGGTTTTGACTTTCTCCCCCGCTGCTGCAACTTGCAACAGTGGCAGCGGCAACGGTGGCTGTGTTGACATCGGATCTGAAACAGGGGTTGCAGCAGCGGCAGCGCAATCTCCGGTTGTTGAATCTGAAACAGGGAATGAGGGGAGGGAGAGAGAGCGAAGGGGACGAAGAGAGAAAGAGAGGGAGGGAGAGATGTCGGATGTGGATAGGTCCGCTGCTGCTGCAAAAACAGGGGCGATCTCACCTTCTTTAAATGCTTCCGTTCGGAAGAAGGTTAAATCGAAAGTGGTCGGATATAGACAACGACAGTGGTGGCGATGGGGGCGGAGAGACGGGGAGTGGAACGGTTGCGGAGTAGTTTGATAGCTGCCTCGAGGAGAGGGATGGTGAAGAAGAAGGGAGAGGACGAAAGGCAAAATTGGGTTTTAAAGAAAATTTATACATGTGATGTGAGCGTGTATGAATTTCGACGGAACATTAACGGATATTAGTAGAGTAGAGCTACTTAATTGTCAGAAAACTTTGGGTACAATTTGTCAATTTCGTGAAAGTGAAAGCAGGAATAGTTTAGGGAAAATTTCCAATTTTAGTAACTTGTAATTTGGGCCTAGTGCCACTTTGGTCCCCGAATTTTAAAATATAATGATTCAGTACCCAAACTTTTAAAACATGATGTACTTGGCTGTTTGCTGCTGCAAAAACAGGGGCGATCTCACTTTCTTCTTTCGATGCTTCCGTTCGGAAGAAGGTTAAATCGAAAGTGGTCGGATATAGACAACGACAGTGGTGGCGATGGGAGTGGAGAGACGGGGAGTGGAACGGTTGCGGAGTAGTTTGCTATAGCTGCCTCCGAGGAGAGGGATGGTGAAGAAGAAGGGAGAGGACGAAAGGCAAAATTGGGTTTTAAAAAAAATTTATACATGTGAGTGTGTATGAATTTCGATGGAACATTAATGGATATTAGTAGAGTAGAGCTAGTTAATTGTCAGAAAACTTAGGGTACAGCTTGTTATTTTCGTGAAAGTGAAAGCAGGGATAGTTTAGGGAAAATTCCCAATTTTAGTAACTTGTACTTTGGGCCTAGTGCCACTTTGGTCCCCAAATTTTAAAATACAACGATTCAGTACCCAAACTTTTAAAACATGATGTACTTGGCTGTTAATTAGTTGTTAACCAGCTGTTAAGTGGCATTTGAAAAAGACATAAATGCCCTTTAAGTTAGGGGTGATCATGGACCGGGTCTGGGCCGGGCTTTGCACTTATGATAAGGTTTATAGCTTAGGCTCAGGCTGGGGTTCCGGGCCTAAAATATAAGCCCTAGCCTGGTCTACATGGGCCCGGGCCCGAGCCGGGTCGGATCTGATTCTGGGCCAATGTCTTTCATATATATAAAACATTACATATCTATAATTTTTATATTAAATGACATAACATGTATATAAACCTATTTTATACATTATATAATATAAATATTATATATAATATAAATTATACATGTCATGTTATAATATTTATATATAAAATATATAATATAATGTAAAATAACTTGTATACATATGTATACATTATACACAATGTGTAAGTTTAAATATATGCGGGTTGGGCCGGACTCGGGCTTGAAGTATTAAGCTCAATCCCAGCCTTAAAATTTGCGG